ACTCTTATTATTTCCATTTCTTTCTATCATGAAAGATCAGTCAGATGCGATCAACTGAATGGAGTGGATAAAGAGATACCGGATCCTATTCATGTTTACTTTGTGATTACCTTTTTTTGTTTTTTACTAGCATTGTTATGCATCTGCATCATATTCATTTAATTTTCAGGTGCAGCGTGTTTCTAAAAGTGTATAATGTAAGCAAGGACAGAGAGGGAGGGATATGGCTAGCTTTTTAACCTGAGCTTTTTCTTTCTAGAATGGAGGCCTTAGGCCCTTAGCTATAACTTGAACATGGCTGCAACACAACCCTACTTTTAAATGATGCAGATAGAACTCAAAGTCTTTTAACTTAACTCGCAGGTTGAGTAATAAGGGTTTTAATGAATAAACGCAGAAACCACAAATTTTATATATCATTTGTTGCCATAAACTGGATCGTAACATTTTTGAGCTTATGAAGCAAATAATATATAGTAGGCAACACATTTTCCGGATACAAATTAGATATATGCCAACCTTACGATGTATAATTATCACCTTGTTGGAGAGCATCCAAATCCATTACCCACTTATTGAGTTGTTATGTGCATAAGAAATCGCTCGCAGGTGCACCCTTGCAAATTATTTGCTTCTCCATCAAAATACGAAAGTAGTGTTGAGAATCGATGTCGTCGTTGTTTGGCTCAGAAGCCTGACTCTGAGTCATTGTTTCCTCAGATTGCACCACCGAGGACACAAGGGGAAAGAAGAGGAGGAGAGATCGCACAAAGCAGTAGAGCACAAAGCTCAAGTTCTCGTCGATGTCGCTTCTTCTTCCCTCCCACGAGCTACTAGCAGCCCTTCGACTTAAATAAAGAAGGGGGCAGCCGACACGGGAGAGAAAACCTAGGGTTTCGAATGGTAGGAGCCGACCTATAGGGATGGGAGATGAGACTCAGAGCGGCAGCCAACAGGACACAGGGATGGGAAGGGGCTGCTGACTGAGAGGGTTGAGTACCATCGGGTAGGAGGAGAGGTTTAGAGATGGGCTAGGGCAAATATTGAGTGGGGAACTGGGCCTTTTGGTAACGGGCCAGATTTTGGGCCAACAAAATAGCAACAATCTCCACCTTTGGCCCAATGTAGCACACTAAGGAAAAACATGGAACTGCAGGACTCATCATCGCCAAACCATTACGTGTATGATCACAAAGAAGATACAAGCAACGGAAGAGAATACACAAAGTAAATTCAGATCACAAAGATCGGGGTAAGATCACCAAGCATACCAAGTCCACAAAGGACCGAACTCTACCAAACGGTCATCGAGTTCAAAGGGAAAATCACAAAGCTACTAACAAGTACAAAGCAAGTTAATAGGCCACAAAGGCAACACACAAAGCAAAGGAAAATTACCCAAAGTCAAAATTCAAGATTCTTTGACACGAGATAAATTTTTCAGCAGGCAAACACTTAGTACCCATGTCAGCCGGATTAAATTCTGAGGAAATTTTCTCTAACTTGACAATACCCTTTTCAACTATATCCCGAATGTAATAAAATCTAACATCAATATGTTTAGTTCTATCATGAAAAACATAATTTTTGCAAAGTTGAATAGCAGATTGACTATCAGAAAATACAACTATATTTTTATCAAGAAAACCAATTTCAGATATAATGCCCCTAAACCAAATAGCTTCTTTAAAAACTTCAGTTGCAGCAACATATGTTGGCCTTCTTGTTTTGATGATGATTTACAAAAAATTTACTACTAATGTTGTTTGTCTAGTGTTTGTGTTTTCCTATGTATTGTAGACAAACAACGTTGTTGGAGGATGGATGGAATAGAGCTTCAACGATCATATCCAAAGGAGGTTGGCGGAATGTCGGTGAAGCCTTGCTATTCAAAGTTCAAGATCCAAGTTCAAGCTTCATCCGCGAGATTACCAAGTCAAGCTTATTGAAGATCAAGATCATTGCTTGGGTAATTTAGTTTAGGAATTTATATTATGTGTGTTAGTACTTTAAGCTCAATCATATACACACATACACGTTTTGGTTTTTGTATATATATAGTTATATATATACATATATGTTTTGGTTTGATAGTTTTCAAGTTTTACTATGAAACAAATGAATAGAATTGGAAAATACTATTTTGTTTCATGTTTATATGCCTATATATGATTTCACCTTTAACAAGCTTATATTTAATGAAATCATATTTAGTGTTTTGAATATATTGCATAGAATATGCAAATTTATTTTATAGACTTCATAACAATAGTTTACATCTTTCTTCAAGTCTATAAAATCATTTTGTAAAGTTTCAAAAGTTGGTTTAGCCAAAATGTCAAAATTCACATGTTTACATTTTCGTGTTTTGGACTATTTTGCAAAATGATGATATTTTTCATTTGGGAAGTCCTTTTTTGAAACCAATTGTTGTAGCATGTTTATTATCATGTCTACAATCATTTCCCAAAGTTTTACATTTTTTGAAATTTATTTTATATTTTTAAACAGTGTTTTAAAATCAGAAAAACAGTTTTCAGAACCTGATTTTCATATATCAGTTTTCGGTCGACCGGACCTGTGTTTATTCCTCACTGGGGAGCAGAGAGTTCGTCGGTCGACCGCCGCGGTCGACCGAGAGCTTCCTTCGGTCGACCGGATAAGTCTGCTTGTCTTTTTCTCATTTTTGACCTGGATAGCAGTCGACCGAAATTTCCGTCGGTCGACCGATCGTTTCTATCGGTCGACCGATCGTTTCTGTCGGTCGACCAAAATTTCCGCCGATCGACCGCCGCTCTGCCGATTCGACCGTTGGCTTTCCAACGGCTATTTTTCTGAGCGATTTTCTGGGGCTATTTTTGTCATTTGGTTTGGGGGTTTTTGGCTGAGGTTCTTGGAGGCTATAAATACCCCCTTACCTCAGTTTTTACAGATAAGCTAAGAAGTGTTTTAAACAAAGTTTTTAAACAAGGGTTTAGGGTTTTACTGTTTGTTTAAAGATTGGGTTTCTGTTTACAAAGGAGGAAGTTTTCACTGCAGATTGAGGGATTCATTCTCAATCCTCTTCATCCTCTTCTTTGTGTTTATAGAGAAGTTTTCTAACTCTTTTCTCTAGCAATTTTGTTATTAATTTTTATATTCTTACCTTTGTTAGTTTGCTATTTGAGTTAGATTTTATTTTACTCATTGTTACACACACCCACATTGAGCTTATTGTATCTTTCATACATAGTATAGTTGGGTGGTGAGAGATTATAACTTTGAGTTGTGCTTAATTGAGTTCTCCCCTGTATTAGAGAACAAATCATTTGTTGTTATATTGTGAGTGTTGTAGAGTTTTCGGTTAGCTAGAAAACCGTATTGTGAGGGTGGAGTGTAGCCACATTGTGAGAGTGTGAGTGGAGATCTCCTTGAGGTGAGGAGCGGAGACGTAGGTCGTGGGGACCAAACTCCGTGAGAGAAATTGTAAGGTGTAAACGTTATTCGGGTGAACGTAGAAAACCCGGTTGTGATAGTGGAATTCTCCCCGGGAGTGGGGAGCGGAGACGTAGGACGGAAGGTCCGAACTCCGTGATCATATCGTGTGTTTGAGTTTGTCATTGGCGTTCTTTTACATTCATGCTTATTGTTTATATCGCCTTTGTCATTTGCTCTTAGTTCATATTATCCACTATCTTGTTTATCTTGTTTATGTTTATATCACCCTTAGTTTCATATCCTTGTATATAACTCATAGTATATCTTATTACTAGGATATATCCCTTGTTCATATTGCTTATCCTAGCTCACATATATTATTGTATTTCATACTTGCTAGGATAACTTATTAATTAATTTTAATTGGCATTTAAATCGGATTAGATTAGCATAAGACCCTAATCACCCCCCCCCCCCCCTCAGTAACAACATACTCAGATTCAGTAGTAGATAAAACAACAATGAGTTGTAATTGGGATTTTCAACTTATGCAAGAGCCACACAAAGTAAACACGTAGGAAGTGGTAGATTTTCTATTATCCCTATCATTTGCATAATTGGAATCTACATAGCCAACTAGTTTAACATCTTCAGAGCACTTAGAGAAGGTTAATTCTACATCCACAGAGGATTTTAAATATCTTAAAAGTCATTTCAATGCATTCCAATGAGGCATACCAGGATTTGACATATATCTACTCAAGCAACTAACCGCATATACAATGTCAGGCCTAGTACTAACCATGAGATACATGACCGATCCTATAGCATTCGAATATGATACATTTTTCATATCATTTATTTTAGTTTCAGTCTTGGAGGATTGATCCTTACTTAACACAAAATGGGAAGCAAGAGGTACATTCACAGATTTGGCATCAGACATAGCGAATTTACTCAAAAATATTTCAACATATGAACTTTGGTTTAAAACTAGAGTAGATTTGTTTTTGCCCCTAATAATATCCATGCCTAGAATTCTTTTTGCATCGCCTAAGTCTTTCATGTCACAATTTTCACAAAGACATTTTTGAACATGCTCAATATACTTCAAAGAAGGACTAACAATCAACATGTCATCCACATAAATTAAAAGAAATATAGGCACAGAGTCTATATTCTTATAATACAAGCAATGATCAGCAGAACTTCTTTTAAACTTTAAAGATTGCATGCATTTATCAAATCTAATATTCCATTGCCTAAGTGATTGTTTTAAACCATACAAAGCTTTTTTAAACAAACACACATGATCAGGCAATTTAGGATCAACAAAGCCCTCAGGTTGGTGCATATAAATATTTTTATCAATATCACCATGCAAGAAAGCAGTAGTTACATCCATTTGTTTTAATTCCCAATTAAAATGAGCAACTAAAGCAAGCATAATTCTAATAGTAGTGAATTTGACAACATGAGTAAAAAAATTCAGCATAATCAATTCTCTCCTTTTGAGTAAATCCCTTAACTACTAACCTAGCCTTAAACGTAACACTTTCAGATTCTTGTTTTACCTTAAACAATCACTTACAGTCCACTACAGAACAACTAGCAGGTTTAGGAACAAGTTTCCATATTTGATTAATTCTTAGGGATTTCATCTCACTCTTCATAGCACTAATCCATTCTTCAGAATATTTTGACCTTAATGCTTCTCTATAAGTCTTAGGTTCATTGCACTCAAGGGATTCAAACACATTAAAGGCAAACTCAGACATATTACAATCAATCAAATTGCAATCTCTATATCTTTCAGGTTTCCTAATGGTTCTTTTATTTCTATCCCTAGTGAGTTGATAATCATTCAAATCATGCATGTTATCTATTTCCTGCATATCATGCTCCACCTCATTAGGAATAATCTCAGCTTGATTTTTAATAATTATATCATTCAATTTCTCTTCAGGAGGTGATTCGGATTGATTAATATTAGGCATTTGCTCCACCTCATTTGGAGCATCATTTTCAGGAATAGGAACATGTAAAGGGTAAACAAGGAAATTCATTTTCATTAAATACAACATCTCTACTTATCACTATATTAAACCACGGTTCACTCTTATTCCAAAGCCTATAACCTTTTACCCCTTCAGGGTATCCTAAGAAAACATATTTCTTAGATCTATGTTCTAACTTATCAATCCTTTGATGTACATAGCCAGCACATCCGAAAATTCTCAAATTATTTAAATCATAAGGTTTGCCCGTGAACACAAATTCAGGGCATTTCCCTTCTAAGAGAACAGAATGAGACATGTTAATTAAATAGGTATCAGTACAAACAGCTTCTCCCAATAACTTCTTGGAGAGCCCAGATGTGGCTAACATAACCGTCACCCTCTTTAAGAGAGTTCTATTCATCTTTTCAGTAACGAACAGATCTATGCCTTTTAATACCCCAAGTAGCACACAAATCATTCAATTGTTTGTTACAAAACTCAAGACCATTGTTTGTCCTAAGAGTTTTAATTTTCTTTCCCGTTTGGTTTTCAATCATAATTTTTTAGTTTTTAAATTTAGTAAAAACTTTAGATTTTTGTTTCATGAGTAAAACCCAAACTTTCCTAGAATAATCATCAATTATGAAAAAAAATATTAGTTCCCTCCATGCGTAGGCACACTAGAGGGACCCCACACATCAGCATGTAAATATTCAAGTACATCAATGCACTTAGACTGATTAGGAAAAGAAGAAATAGGAAAACTAACCCTATGTTGTTTTCCTAGCACATAAGATTTACAGAAAGTGATGGGGGATATTTTATCACTACCAAAGTGACCTCCTTTATTCAAAACTTCTAATCCTTTATTACTCATGTGACCTAATCTATTATGCCATAAAACAGATTTATCACCTATCACAGAGTTAACAGAATCAAGACAGGTTCAGCATGAGAAACATACAAGTTATTTTGTTTTTCAGCAGTAAAAATAACAAGCGACTCTTTAAGAATTTTCATAACCCCTTTACCCATTTTTTTCACCATCATTTTCTAGAGATGCACAAGAAATCAAGTTATAACGTAAATCAGGAACATACCTAACATCCTTACCATCATTTTCTAGAGATGCACAAGAAATCAAGTTATAACGTAAATCAGGAACATACCTAACATCCTTCAAAGTAAACACAGAACCAGAAGAAAACCTAAGGCATACATCACCAGTTCCTAAAACATTGTATTTCTTTTCATTTGCCATTGACACAAAGAAACATTGTATTTCTTTTCATTTGCCATTGACACAAAGCCATTCTCTATTTTCTTGTAGTTTGAAAACAATTTTTTAAAAGGAGTCATATGAAAAGTACAACCAGAGTCTACTAACCAAACTGATTTACAGAAAGAATCAGATAACACAGAGTTCAAATATGCATAATCACAAAGATTATTAATCATGAAAATTTTACCCATTTTGCCCTCACAGACAGTCATATTAGCATGATCATTTTGCTGATTTTTCTTAGGCTTAGGACAATATTTAATAAAGTGTCCAGTTTCATGACAATTATAGCATTTTTTAACTTTAAACCTGGACTTAGATCTACCCATTCCATTTTTAAATTTTTTCTTACTTGATTCTTCATTACTAGCATTCTTTTGGTTATTAGACCTATTCTGAGGCATACCCCTCACATGCATAATCTCACCAGAATTTTTATTTCCCCCAGAATGTTTTAAATCTACTCTATTTTTGTGGTTGGTTTTTTTTTCCGGGTTGTTGAGATGTTCTACCAGTAAAAATAAAACTATAGGGAGTTTATCTGCAGGTGGGCAACTAGTACATGGGGTCTATCTGCAATTAAGCGTTCTTCGTATTAAACGATACTCTCCAAAACAATTTGGACTCATTTGGCGGCCCTGCATCTATTCATATGTTTGTTATTTCCACTACACCCCAAGAACAATTCAACTTATTTAATCAGCTCGCGCAAAAGCAAAATTTTCTTACTCAATCACTCTGTCACCATCTTATCCTTTGTACCTCTAAAGTAGTTCTAGATGCAGCACACACATCCTTCTACCCTTTTTAAACCCCAAACTTCGTACTCTATAGCACTACTCTGTTCATCCTCTCATATTCTCAAGCTCATCATCATTCATGGCTCACTTGTTTTCCTTTCTCATACTCTCCTTCTCTTCTTCCTCTCAGTTCTCTCACACTCCATAATTACCAATCCTCAACTGAGGGTTGGCTATTACTCTGATAAGTGTCCGAGGGTCGAATCAATCGTCAGAGAGCTCATGCGCCGAGCAATGGCTCGAGATCCTAGAAGTGTTGCGTCAGTCTTGAGGTTTCAATTTCACGATTGCTTTGTGAATGTAAGCTGTTATGTGTGTAGGAAAAAACAAGTATATGATGTGGCCCATTTACTAAGAGATGTGTGGGCCTCATCGCCTCTATATTGTAGTAGTATCAATTTGCTAAATAAGCTGCTACCCCATAACTGTCAAACTCTTAGATTGTGTTCGACAACCACTCAGAATCGGGTCTTGATCTTGTTTCAATTTTAGGAAAGATCATTTCCGGTAAAATCTTGATAAGTCTTGGCGTTGTTCCTTCCATCAAAAATACTAAAACCAGTTCGAAGTTGGACCCCATCTTCTCTCGTTTATTTCTAACTTTGTTAGAATAAAACCAGACCGGAATCGATCTTGGCCTAGTTTTGAGTGGTCACCAAACATAGCCTTTTTGACAGGAGTCGTATTCTACTTTATTTATTGAATACTCTTAAGTGTTTCTAGTTCTTTATTAGGGATGTGATGCTTCCATACTACTAGATGATACATCCACAATGCTTGGAGAGAAGCTGGCCTTGTCCACCATCAATTCTCTCAAATCCTTCGACGTGATCGATGATATTAAGGAGGCCTTGGAGAAGGAGTGCCCTGGTGTTGTTTCTCGCGCGGATATTATCATCATGGCTGCAAGAGATGCTGTTGGCTTGGTAAATGTTAAATATATGCTCTTCTTTTTGTGGATTAGAATTTGGGTCATAGTCAAATTTTATCTTACTGCGTTTATAATTACTAGATTTGGAGCTTTTGGTTGTTGTACAGTTTAGGTGTTGGAAAAGGTTTTTTAGTAGTATGAGAATTGCGAGCTGAAAGTGCAGAAGTTATTTTCTTTGTTCAAAACAAACTATTTATTGAGAGCACAAAAGTGAAGATGATGGCATAATAGGATTTATTAGTAAACATAATTACAGTCATTTATTAAAAGTGGCTTTTTATATATTTTTCTTTCATATGAATTGAGCAATTTTTTTACAAGTAAAAAATTGCATTAAAATGATGCGACTTTTTTTGCATTTTATTCTCAAAATTACTTGCATTCATCAAACAAACACCTACGTGGCCTGTTAAAAGTGAGTCATTTTCTCTCTTTCAATTTTCAATTGCATGCAAACAGAGACCCGCTAAATCATTGACAATACGTCTACCACATTCATATATTGACGATACTTTTTCGACAATCGAAATTGCACTGCAGAGTGGGGGACCAAAATGGGAAGTAAAACTGGGGCGAGAGGATAGTCTGACCGCGAGCCAAGCAGACTCTGACAACATAATGCCAAGCCCACGAGCCGACGCATCCACCCTCATCCCTCTCTTCCGACGGTTCAACCTCTCCGTCACCGACCTGGTCGCTCTCTCTGGGTCCCACTCCATCGGTCACGCCCGCTGCTTCTCCATCGCCTTCCGCCTCTACAATCAACTTGATTCACACATGGACCCGAGTTTTCGAGCCAAACTGGATCACATTTGCCCCAAAGATTGCGATGGAAATGTAACTGCAGGTTTTGACCAGACTCCACTCCGGTTCGATAACCGGTATTTTAAAGATTTGGTTTTTTCGAGGGGGGTTCTTAACTCGGACCAGACCATGTTCTCTGGTAGTTATCGGACGAAGAAGTTGGTGAGATGGTTCAGTCGTGATGAGAAGGCGTTCTTTGATGCGTTTGTTGAAGGAATGGTTAAGTTAGGGGATTTGAGTTCGGGAAGAAGAGGGGAAGTTAGGAGGAATTGTAGGGTTGTGAGTGGAGGATCTGCATAGTATCCACTGAATTGTCTAGTTTTACTTGTATTTGTAGTCCAACATTAAACTCAGTCTGATGAGTTACATGAGATGTAAATTAGGGGTATTTTTTCTATGGGGAAGAAGAACAACTGTAATAGATAGATATCATGCAATGAGAACGGAACGAAAAGCTTGCACGGTAAGCATCTTTCTCTACGAAAAGCTTCAAAGTTTTGTTTCATCAAATTTTGCATGATACAAATCATCATACGTTTGTTAATAAATTCCTATCGGATTCTTCTGAATATGGATAAGCGAGGCAGCGAAATAGCGAAACTCCAGCTTCTCATTAATAGCAAAACTCAGTTTCTCGTTAAGACTATTCACGTACTGTTGAATCAATGACGGTTTACATTGAACTTCAGCAAAATTAGTTAGTTCCATAGAAAACAATTTCAGCCACCACAAGCTCGACGGACTCTTTGTTTCATCAACGCAAAGTTTCAGTAACCATCAGAAAAATCCAGAGTTTTCTTTGACCGAAAACTCAAGGTGAGTCGTCAGTGTACAAGTTCCTAGCACAGAAGATACAAGCCAATTAACATTTATGAGCTTGGAACCAAAGACGCCTACCCTCCATAAACATGCATAAACTACCAGGGGCGAGTCAATCAAATCCAGTGGTAATATCGCATGAGCCAATTTTCCCACTGAGACATGCTCAAGTTGCGCTGCCACTAGAGTCAACTTCAAGAAAAGGATTAAAGCAGCAACAGGATCGGATTGTAACAAGTTCTCGGTACAAAGTTAAATGCACAATATGCAAATAAAAGTCATCTGCTGCTCAACTTGATTTCTTCTGCAATTTCTCAGATCTAAAAAAAGCACACAATCCAGAGGTGAAACAAGATTGTAAGGGTTAATTGTAGAAACACCCCCTGTGCTATCGCCCAATTGCGGATAGACCTCCTTGTAGTTCTATTGTTGTAGATAGAACCCTGAGTGAATTATGTTTTTATTCTATTACCCTCAGGAGTTCTATTGGTCAAAAATAGAAAAAAAAAAAAGAAAAACTCTCTCTTTCTTAAGGGTAAAATCACAGCGCCTTCAGCTTGGTGGCAAGAAGCTTCTGGTACTCAATAGCTTCAGATTTTGCCTTTGTGACTCTCTTCCTATTGTGAGCAGTTCTGGCACGCTTGACGCTTCCTTTGCAGTGTCAAGCAAGGAACAAGCCTCTGAGCCATAGGAGTCTTGCTGCACTAACAAGGTAATATGAAAGTATGAGACAGTTTATTGTTTGCGATAAGGGGCTTTTGTTTGTGAACCCAGAGCTTTACACTGATTTATGCTTAAACCAACAAACTCTCAAATTAATGCGTAGACCCAACTACTCAATATTGATTTACTTTTAAACCCAAAATACAATATATCCACATGCATACATTGTATTTTACCGAAAAAAAGAACTTAAAACCCTAAATTACTCCTCTTTCTCTCATCCATCCTTGGATCCCAACACAAAACTACTCCAGCAGTCCCCCAATCGCATCCGACCACCCCCGTCACGCTGACCGCTGCTCCCTCTCCACCAGCCCCAACCCTCAGCTCCCGCATAACCGTATCGAGCGTGACACCCAATCACGAGAAGGTTGTTCGGGGGGGGGGGGGGGTTCATCAGGCACGTCCCCATCAGCGTGGATTCTTGTACATCTCTTGTCGGGCCTCACAGCGACGATGGATCTGCAATCTACAGGCGCATGGATTCCAACACGAACGAGGTAGTCGCTGGCAACTGCCGGCGTGGGTGAATGATGCCCAGGAGATGCTGTAAGCAAAGGTCATCCATTGCTTGATTTGGATTTTATCTGCTTTGGGTTTGAGGATCTGGCTGGAGAAGAGAAGAAGAAGAGTGGTTTGGAATTTAAGTTTTCTTTAGTAGGATACAGCGTATGCATGTGGATGTATTGTATTTTGGATTCAAAGATAAGTCAGTCTTGAGTAGTTGAGTCTAAGCATCAATTTGAAAGTCTGTGGGTTTAAAGACATGTCATTCAATTCTTCAAGCCAATGAAATGATTCATGCCTGTTCTAAAAGGAAGAGGGAAGTAGCTCTGTTCAAGATTGATTTTGCTAAAGCTTTTGATTCTATAGATTGGTTCTTTCTATTTGATCTGCTAAAAGCTAGGGGATTTGGTATCAGATGGTGTTCTTGGATTTGCCATATTGTCTCCTCATCAAATTGTGCTATCCTGGTTAATGGTGTGCCTACTAAATTCTTCTCTTGCAAACGAGGTCTTAAGCAAGGAGATCCTCTATCTCCTTTGCTTTTTAACATTGCGGTTGATGTTTTAAGCAGAATGATCATGAACAATGTTGATGATGGTATATTATCATCTCTTGGACTCAAAAATCCTCTCAATCTAGTTAGAATTCTCCAATTTGCGGATGATACTCTCCTCTTTGTGAAAAGCTCTGCACGTGATATTTCCATTCTTAAAACCATTCTGTACTTCTTTGAAGAAATATCAGGTTTAAGCATCAATTATTCAAAATCATCTCTGATATACTTTGGCTCAATTCACAACAAAGCTCACTCTCTAGCTTCTTACCTTGACTGCAAAGTTGATCATTTACCTATTAAGTACCTGGGCTTACCTATCAAATATGGGAAATTAACCAAGTCAGACTGGCAACCTCTTATTGACACGCTTCATAGAAAATTGTCAACTTGGAAGAAAAATTCACTCTCTTATGGCGGCAGACTGGTTCTTTTGAACTCAGTTCTTACATCTATCCCTCTTTATTATATGTCCTTTTATAAGTTACCAAAATGGCTTATTAAGAAAATTGACAAAATCAGAAGGAGCCTTTTATGGTCAGGCAAGGCAGATGCGACCTCCTTCAAATGTTTAGTTAAATGGAAGAAGGTTTGCTTAAGTAAAAAAGAGGGAGGTCTGGGTGTGAAGGATATTTCCCTGTTTAATTCTTCACTTTTATCTAAATGGTTATGGAAGTGTCTAGATTCTAATTCCTCCTCAGGCAAGTTTCTTCATAATCTCTATGTTCAAGATCATATATCTCTACGTTCCAGCGTATCTCATTCATCCTTTTGGAAAGCTGTTTTATCTCATAAAGATTCTTTTTTGCATAACATAAGATGGCATTTAGGAACTGAAGAAAGAATAAGATTCTGGGAAGATAAGTGGCCTGATTCCAACAGTCTTACAAATCTATTTCCACAGTCATACAAGTTGGCTCTTTCTTCTAATGCTTCCGTCAAAAGTCAAGGTTTTTTCAACCATCAAATCTGGAATTGGCATTTATTGATGAGAAGAAGTATCCTCCCTTGTGAGAAATCTGAGAAAACCGATCTTTTGAATCTTATTAAAGATTCACATCCTTCAAATAACTTTGATCATGCAGAATGGTCTCTAACTACAAATAAACAGTTCTCTGTCAACTCTCTTTATAATTTTCTTAATGAGAGAGGTATCCCCAGTCCTATCTACAAAGTTATCCGGAATCCCCTTGTTCTATCAAAAGTTCGTATTTTCCTTTGGTTACTTTCTAAGAACAAACTGCACACAAAGGAGGTTCTTCTTTCCAAAGGATGGCAAGGTGACACTACATGTTCCTTTTGCGAATTAGAACTGGAATCTATAGAGCACTTGTTCTTCTCATGTCCAGTTACAAAAGTAGTATGGCAGCATTTCATAAACTACAATCTTCCTTTCACTTGGCCGGCAAAGTGGGCTGACCTATTGCTTACCTTAGAATCAGTTCTTGGGTGGAAAGGTCATATGTGGCGCAGTATATTTGCATCTGTTTGCTGGAGTCTATGGAGATCAAGAAATAATTCTATTTTTGATCAAAAATAGTTTTCTATCAAGTCCATTATTAACTATGCAATATCGTCATTACATGATTGGACAGGTTATGGAAATGGAGCAGCAACATGCAAGGTTAAAGCAAAGTTGGAAGAAAAGCCGATTCAAATGAGCACATAGATGGGATTGTGAATGTCTCTTTTGGTTTTTAACAGTATATAAATCACTTTTGTAATCTTAGTTTTTGTTTTTTATTGGGCTATAGAAAGTTTAGTTTCTTATTACTATATATATGGCTGGCTTTGGTTCTCTCTTATATCCATGTCAACGGTGAATGACAGCAAGACCCTCTCTTCACCTTCATGGATGTTTGATAGAAGAAAGTCATATATCACTAGTATTAAGAAACTATCTTTTCTATCTTCCAATACTTGGATACAGTTCGTATCCTTTTTTTGTATCTATACTTTTGTTTTCTATCTTCCAATACTTGGATACAGTTCGTATCCTTTTTTTGTATCTATACTTTTGATTAATACAAATGACAGGGTATATCCCTTGTTTTCTCTCAAAAAAAACTTTTTTTGTATCTATACTTTTGATTAATACAAATGACAGGGTATATCCCTTGTTTTCTCTCAAAAAAAAAGACATGTCAGGGTAAAGCTCTGCGTTCATAAACATCCAATGAGAAATGTTGGAACAATTCTTATATGGCCCGCACGACTCCTAGTTAATACTAGAAGTCCTAGTTTTGTTTAAGTTTGGCTTGCAGCCTGGAAAACTATATCATTCTATAACCTTTTCTGAAGTTGATTAATTGAAATTTTGAAGATTTTGCATGTGAAGTACCAAATATCAGTATGCCAAATATCAGTACCAGGAAGTGGCACATTTGGCAGTATGCTAGCACGTCTTTTGTTCCAGGTAGAAAAAAATTTTCATCGGTTAACACTCAGAAGCACGTTTTAGGAGGGTGCAGAAAATTTTCGACATGTTTGGGGCTGGTTGGTGGATAGCAGCTCCTAATAGCGGTGTTTTGCCACACCCAAATACCCACAGTGGAAAACGTCATGAACCGTTGCACCCAGGCGGAGCATCTATGGATTCCTTTGTTTCGTACTGCAGCTTGGTGCAACTGCAGCCAAATGTTCTTTCATAGCAGTTGTCAACCCACTACACTCTTTGGTCTACATCACATTGTTAATTATTGAAAAATATCTTTATTATCCATCTTATTATTGTTATATGTAATGTTGATTTTGTAATAGGAAACTGTACTATTAATCTTTCTTTACGATTAGTGTGTATTTCAATTTGGTGATGAATCCATCCCTTAAATATAATGAGAAACTGGTGTTTTACTTAGAGTCGCCACGTGGCAGTTAGAGAGACACCGAAAGACGCCACTTGGAATTAGTTGAAAGTTAGAGATAATTACTCTACTCTTCAATTAGTTTGAGATTCTCATTGATTTAGGATATTTTAGGAAATGATAGGTAGTTTGACCATCAAGATTTCATCAGTGTTGAGTTTGAAATTCTAATTGACATCAAGATTTATTAAGGCATTTGCTAGGAGACAAGGGTTTAAACATCGGATATCGCGAAAAAATTGAATGGCCAAAATCCACATCGAATTGCAGATATCAAGGAAATATCAGGGATATATAGTAAATACCAGAGTGACATATATGATGATATGGATATATAGTATAACGTTAAAAAATATAATCTAAGCATATTTAATGAATTTAATGAAATCTAAGTAAACAAAAATGTAAATAATATATGTTTAGGATCATTAACCAATAGTAGAAACTCTAAGGAAAAAAAATATGCTAGAATCCTACTAAAATCTTTCATAGGGCTAGAGTCCGTACTACAAAACATGTACTACAAAACATTAAAGAAATTTTGCATAACTATAATGTTTTACGACCAGCCATATAATAGGATATATCGGCCAACATATCAACTGGTATATCAACCATGTTAGGGATATATCGCCCACAAATTGCCAAAAAGAAGTAAATGATATTGAAACCACATCGTTTTGTGGCAATCCATATGAAATGATACATTGGCCGATATATCAGATATATCGGGGATATTTGAAACAATGCTCAGAGATGGTATATTTTTACAGCGACTACATTTTTAGACCTTTCAGTTTTCTTGGGGTTTTTGAAAATTCAACAAAAAATATCACCTCCAAACTCTGAAGAACTAAAACGCTTACCAAATGGGACATGCCTTTATATATATATATATATATATATATATAGTTAATTTCAACAAAATACAATTAGTTACATGGCCATTACAATGCAAGGTGTTGCAAATAGCAATGGTTGTGGTTGTTGTGCTTTCTAATAAAATTTTGAGCTTGCTCAATATGCCCCGCATCCTACAGTGTATAGACATGATGTCTCCTCTTCATCCTCTTACTGTCTTGCATGCAGTTTCCCTAGTAAAGTCTATATGAAACCCTACTTATGTCCACCCCTCTTGTTGCCCTTCAGCCTTTCTCCATCTAGATCATAGTTGCCTCCTTTATCATCATCCAAACCATGGTTAAATCCCTCTACTGCAGTTATCATACCTTTCCAGCCCCATTAAACTCTCAAATTTTCTAGTTTCCTTTTTAGATGTTTATAACTATTCCGTATAAGTAGTTCTGCACACATGCACTTGTACATTGTTCTAGTCGAATACAACACTTGACTTGTATAAGTGTCCAAGTCAGATGTCTATGAGATGGGTGTTATACCTTACTCTCTAAGAAGGTATCACGTGCACATACAGATGCACATGCACCAAATGCATATTGGCGTTGATGTAGGACCTTTTGCTTGAGATCCTTTATACCTAGATGAACGCATAAACTTCATGCTAGAATAAGATTGCACCATGTTGTTCATGATAAAACTGTAATAAACATGAATTGTCCAAATCTTGATGGATATCCATGTGTACATGAATACACACAAGTAAACAGATACACATGAGTGCATACACGCATATGTTGGTCATTTTCCACTAACTTCATGCAGAGATTACCCACATGGGATGATTCGCACAGCTAATCTTGTTTAACACACTCAAATTAATTTTAAAATATTATAAATCAAGCGGTTTTAAAGCTTCAGGTGCCTTTATAAGCTTGTTCAAAATAAAACATTGTTCCAGCTGTAAAAAGAAGTGGTTGATGCATAAGAATTATGAAATTTCTTAGATATCATTATTAAACTATCCAATGCTTCATATATCACTATTTACTTACCCATCTCATGACATTAATAAAGTTTGTAAAAGTGTAGGCAGATCTTAATGTTTGCTGGGGCAATGCAATATTGCAATACTTGCTAACCTTTTTCTTTTTTCTATTTCTCCTTTATAGATATATCGACATTCTTTCCAAGCTAGCTGCTCCACGATTTAATGGTATTATATTTTCCACTATCTACTACATGAGAAGTATCTGAGACGAAGGAAAAGTGGGTCCAAGAATTGCGTTACGAGCATCCAACATAATAAAAATAGTGCCATGTTAATATTTTTATTCACAAAAATCAAGAACTTATGATCACTTATTGTCTAGGCACGTGCCATGCGTTCATATTTATGTAGATATGCACATCTGGAGATTAATCAAGTATCACACTTTAGCAACATGGTAATGATGCCATTGTCAGCCCTAAGGGATTGTGCCAATGTAGGTGAGCCATATGCCTACATAAGTTGGTTATAATAATAACTTATAAGGACGACGACTTTGCTTAATTTCCTTTGCACGTGACCATTATAATGAAAGCACTTTGTAGGAAAGTCTAAAGTAGTATTGGCTGATACCTAAATATTAGCCATACATTTTAATCATGCCAATCCAAGATTCCAATCTGGCGAAACCAGGGGAAACATTAGATATTGACTAATAACGATTACTAAAAGGGCAAGTCCAGAATTTGAAGTACATGTTGTGTTGGAGAAAATTAAAAACTCATTGAAAAATACCTTGTCATCAAACTGACTTTACAATTGCAGCGATTCAATCTCAAATTGTAAAAACTGCTAAAAACTCTTGATGCAATTCTTTAGTATGGAGAACCTGAACCGCGACCAACACCAAGATTCAACACCTTGTTTTGCAGCTTTATTTTCATCCAAGGCTCTCAAGACAAGTGTTGTACTTGCATAAAGTCCATAATAGAGTCCCACATTGTCTTCTCTAGGTTGTCGTTCTTTGCTATTGTATTACTACATCTAGTTCAAACATAAGCTATTATCTCATCTATCGTGAAGTTATATCCTCCACATGAGTTACTTGGTAAGATTTATTTACTTATTGAGTTTGTAGCTCATTCCACTATCTCTCACGTTCTTTAAAGTACAGCAGCTCTAAGCAGCAAACAAAGAAACATAAATGGGTGTATTTGTGAAAAGTCAAGGACAGTTACGATCGAGGAGCTGAAAGAAAACACTTTGAAAAGACTTGAAGATGGGCATTGGAGCCAAACAAGGTGCTATAATAAGACTTAGAAAGCCATAATAGAAGGTGTTGCTAGAACGAGGAGCATAACGATAAGAATGGATCAATTCAAGTACAAATAAACAAAGTTGTTGCAAATTCAACAGACAATACTTTTCATACAGTGTAACGGAGAAAAACATTGACTACTCATTTCTCCATTGCCAAAAACTTAAGATAAAGGTTTTATTACTACCTTGCTGCACATCAAAGTTCAAAGGTGGGTGGGTAGACTCTTAATAGAGTTTCAAATTTATTTGATAAAGCAGTTCTTCACGGCCAATTGTCTGTAAAGTTCAGCAGCATCCGGATTCAAACTGATCATATGCCATATATACCAAATTCGCGATTCATAGAACATGTTTAGAACTAGAAGTGGTTTGTGTGTCATATCTCATATCATAGATATCAGGAACGTGGGGCACTATAGCATACCACGACCAAGGTTTTAAATGTCGGATGTCGGGTTCATGTCGGATGGCTGAAATCCATGTCGGATAGCGGAAATCGGGGATATATCGGGGGACATTGACTAAATATCGGATTGCCATATCGAGTAGTATGCATATGTATAATATCATGTCCTGAATGTAATCTAAGCATTCATAAATTTAATATAAGCATACTTTATAAATTCTATAGACTAAACATATAAAAAGGTAAATAATATATGGATTTGGGTTCATAAATTCTTTCTATCGGGTTCATAAGAAAGGATTTGGGTTCATAAATTCTTTCTATCGGGTTCATAAGAAACCCTTAAACATGAGAACGGGTCAAACGTATTTGGGTATTTATCACTAAACCCAAACCGGATAATAAAAAACAGAACTTAAAAAAATACTATATCGGCCGATTTTTCAAAGCTAAAAAATAGGCCGATATGCCCGATATGACCCTGATATTTCCGATTTTGCCCTGAAAACCGACATACGAGTTGAAAACGTCCATGTCGTGTCAGTCAAGCCCTCAAACCGATATATCGACCGACATGTCGGACATGTCGGCCGACATTTAAAACCTTGACCACGACCAGGTTTAATCGTCCCGGAATGTAGTACACTAGTGAATTGGGTCGCGTACCTAGTGGCCTGATTTAGAATTCAAATTAATTAATATCTTTTATTTTGTGTGTGTGTGTTGGGGGGGGGGGGGGGGG